ACTCTTTCGTCAAACCAGAAATATATTTGCATTTCTCAAAGCTGTGGAAATATCACTGTAAACACAAAGCAGATGTAACATAGAGGCAGAGATGCCTGCTTGAATAAACAAACAGCATGACATATTAGCTCTGAGGTCTCAACATTAGTCTTGAAACAAAACTTCAGGGAACTAAATTTTGCAGCCATAGCACCAGTTATTTTTCCATTATGCTATGACACTAAATATTTGGGTTAGATGAAGTAAAAGGATCTGAACTCAACCACTGCAACAAGTGGTGCACAGAGTATTACAAAAACCAGAGCGCATTGGTGGCAGCTTTAATATGTGCAAAAACCCCACATGAGTTGCAGATGACATCTGCTGTGTTACAATAAGCAAATATGCAAAACTTCCAGGAGAAACACACAAATATCCTTTAAAGTTCTGTCATCACAGGCTGCCCAGAACTTTACAAGAAATATTGTCAGCATTTATTTCTCTTTTCTCTTTGTGTACGGCAAGCAGAATCACCCTGGCATTGCCTGTGAGCTCCCATCTTCAGATACACAAAACCCATATTTCTCTTTGAGTCAGACTCTAATAATAAAACCTCAATGGCTTTTATGATGTTAAGGTAAAACAATTATTACAAATGTGTAGACTATATAATCTAATTACCTAGTTTAACCCCAAGGAACACGAGATGGAAGCTAACCAAATTCACCTTCCCCACTGTCCTCCAGCATATCTTTTAAAAGCATAATGGTTTCAAGAGCATTTTTTCACCTGGCATGACAATTGGGGCAGGCCACTCAGACGTGTGGGGAGCTCTGTGCCCCTGCCTGGTCCCTAAGCTCTGGTCCGGCGTAGCAAGAGGTGGATGCCCAGCAGCCCACTGCAGGGCAGCTCTCCCCATGCACTCACCAGAAAACCAGCACTCGGAAAACTTTCTGTGCAAAGAGAAGTGCCTGGGAGAGATTAAGCACCTTCAGAAACAAAGAACAGCACAGAGTATTTAATTTAGGCCTGAATTTTGGACTTTGTGTCAGAGGTTCATAAAAGTCATTTCTAGACAGTGTAAGGATATTTCAGTGTTACTGTCTTCCAGCCTAGAGGCCCCTCATGATAAATATGTACAAGCTATTAATTTGCACACTGCTTTACTGTTCTGACCTACTCAATTTTCACAGTATTTATCTCCTGAAAAAATTTGCAAAAAAATTATCTTCTTTTCTTCCTCATGGAAAACAAAAATATTAACTTATTTTTTTAAAAAACAGAACCATTTAAAAAAAAAACAAACCAGAACTTCAAACATTTTATTAGGGACATTTTCATCTGAGTTCCCAGGACTGATTTTAATTAATTTAATCTTTGCAATATTGATTTTGTTTTTTCTTTTTTTTTAATCAAACGTTGTGCATCAGTAAATCAAACAGAAAAATCCATTTTGTCTTGCATCAGTCCAAAATTTCACAATTATCACAAGACAGGTAATTTTGCTAAAGATTATTACCATGCTGTTCACTTAAAGGTCTGCTGTTCATTGAACCTTGTCAATTAGCATTTGTTAATTGTGTCTCTCTTCTGTAATTCTTTATTGATAGATACTGTACCAGCCGTTTCATAGAAGTATACATTTCAGGCTAAACAGCTCCCCCTTACTTGGTCACCTTGCTTAACTTTGTTCTTTCATTTATTCATTCCTTCATTCAATATTGAGACAGATGTGGCCGCCTTCTAGCCTTACAGAATTTATGAATTTTTCCAAGGAATTAAAAAGTAACTATATATACACTATTCTATGTTCGGGAAAAAGCTTCAGAAGAAATAAGAAATAAACATAAAAGCACTTAATGTTATATATTAGCTAAATTAATAGTTATTTCACTGAAAACAAATTATATTGAAATTCCACAGGCAATGGACTTGAACTCACCAGGCGAGCGTGTGGGTTTCGGTGGTAATAAAGTTCTTTATACTCATCCATCCACACTTCAGCTGCACGCACACTGTTTGCCAAAGCTTTGGACCGTGAGTATGGAGCTTGTTTGGGGAAAACGTGACCTACATGTGAGCACGGGTGGATCTCAAGACTTCCTCCACACTGCCATATCTGAACAAAGAATTGACATGGTGTGTCATTAATTTGACTTTTTGCAGGCAGAAGGATACAGTAACAATAAGCCTTTGTAAGGATAATACCTTCTCAAAAATATCACAGCATACTATAAGCAACACATACAACAATTTTGTCTCATTTGCTGAATAAGCTGGATAAAATTACATCCTTGTGAACTCAGAGCAAATCACTGGGAGGAACAAGGAGGCAGGTCCATCTCTGGTTTTCTCTGGTGTGCTATTATCCCCTTTCTTAGCTGCACTTTCTCTGAAGGCATGATAAGGAATGGTCCACAAGATTTCTACAAGTCTAACTGTGATCTACAATTCAAGTTACACATGCATTCTTAAAAAAAAAAAAAAAAAAAAAAAAAGAGGCATGTTTCTTGTCCAAAATAACCATGCAAATAGCAGTCTCAGAAAGAAACCAATTACTGATAACCGATTTCTTACCAGAAATCTTTGCCTACTGGAAAGCTGACCTGATAAAACAGGTAAGCTTATCATATTGTTGGAGAATGGTAGGTTGTGTTCCCATTTCTATATTCACCATTTCAGAAGAGAGGCATGGGTGCCTGGTCATAAAAATATAACTGACCTTTTTCATTGGAAAGCTCAGAAAGGAACCCCAGACCCAACGCATGAAAAGAAAAAGCTAAATCATTCTGTAACTAACTTATGGTGGTCCAACCAACATCAGTGAAACAACCTCCCCTATCCAAAGCAATATTCCTACTTGCTGTCAAGGAAAATACTTGAACCTGAACGTGGAATTGACAGAATCCTCTCTGCCCTTCTGCTCATCCTCCTGCCTCTGGCTCCCCAGGCCAGGAAATGTACGGTCCTGGAGCTAAAACCCATAAATGACAACAAAGTGGATAGACCAGTCTCAGCGCTCTGTGCAAATTTTTGTCATTATACTCTTCTCCTTTGAAAACTGTGAACTTTTGTCACCTCATCCACACAGCCACTTTCCTATCACCCATTCTAATCTCAAGTTTGATATAATGAAAGGAAAGCACAGCTAAGTATTTCCTATTTAATATTGTGAATGACCACAATGTGGCAGACACCCTGTTTCTGAAGTGTGCCTGAAACAAGGTTTCTGAAATCTAGTCAGATGGGAGTAGGACGCGTTGCTACACTTGAACAAACTTGAGGCTATCACCAATGGCTCCGACAGACTTTCCATAGAAGTTTTTTGAGAACTGGCAGTGAGCTAATTCTCCTCGTGTACACAACTGTGCGTAGGTGGCAGCTCATCTTTCCTTTGTATATGGAGGAAAAGGGAAATTAGCTGAGATATATTTTAAGGGGTAGAGAGGTTTTGCTCTCTGACAACCTTCTTGTACAGTACATATATTTTAAATTACATGTCACTCAAATTAACATAGCAGGTGTGAAAACTGAGGCAGCAAATAATAACAATGACAACACACCAATGATGGGACTTTTCCATTTCCACCATTGTAGAGATCTACAAAGTCATTACAGATTAAGGCTTTCAGCATACACAAGACGGACGCTGTCTTCCAACTGCTAATTTTTTTAAGTTACTTATGATTTCTCACAAATTTATTAATTTAGAAATCAGTTAATGTTGTCTCTGCTGATTTGGTTTTGGATAATGATGTCAGACCTCCACACGTGGCACAATACTGTGCTTAATAACAAATCCGTAAGCACGCTAATAGGTATGTTTACTTTTAAAACAAACAGTTGCCTTAAAGGTATAGGTTATTAATTATTCAACAACAGAGCACTGGATAACCTTTACTTCCCGGATTTAAAATTTTTATTTCTTGCTTTTCAAGAGAGGTTTATTTCTTCTTTTTTGTTGCTTTTTAGGGAAGCAGTATATTGGTCATGCGAACAGAAAGACGATTAAAGAAATTACACAAGAAATCTAGAATTCTGTACTGATCTTTAACTGATTTGCATATTTTCCCATATAAGTTACACTACTGCCATTTTGAAAGCCGCTAAGAAACCAGACATCCACTTTCACTTTAGGATCCCACTTTCTGAGATTTGTTTCAAAACAATAGCTTTCTTTCATTATTTCTATAGCCAAGATTACTTTTTTAAAGTAAAAATTTATCACCAAGATTTCTTTGTCAGCAAGTATTAAGCACCATTTATTAAAGTTTAACAATTTTCATATTTGCTGTATTCCAAATAAGCATTTTTATTGATCATTACTGTTTTGATCAGTCTGTTTTTAAACAAGATATGAGAAATGGACCATAAAGACTACTGAAGTAAAAATGTACAGTTAAGAAGGAAGCACATTCTTTCTTCTGCTCTTCCATGATGAAGTCTGATTTAAATGGAATAAAACGGAGTGACCATATCTCTGTTAAATTTCTTCCAAAAAAGAAAATTCCACAACAGATGATTCCTCAATAATTAAAATTCTGAATTTTCTCCAATAATAACTGTAGGATGCTAGGTAATGTTCATTAAATTCTGGCTCCTTTTTAAAAACAGATCAAAACCTCTCCTGTCTTCTTATTACAAAAAAAATCTAAGTATATTTCAGCTAAACAGTTCCTCAAAAGGTGTATTTATTTTTTTGAATGGAAAACACATTTCAATCTCTATATAAAATCAGGTACAAATGAAGAGCAAGGAAAAGAGAGAGAAAGCAAGCAATTCACTGGAGAAACCAAAGTTGACTACTAAATGCTAAATAAGTGACTCTAGAGAAGTTTCTCACGTAAAACTATTCGCATCTCCTTTAACAGAGAAGCACATTAGTTTCATGTATATTTTGCATGCTCACATATGCATGAAAATGTTTCTTTACTAGGTCTGGCTAGCTCACAGCTCATTATAAAAGTGTACTTCTATCCTTCAGCACAAAAAGAGAACAAGGTGACATTCATTTTTACTTTCACTTTCATCTTGATGCTTGCAGCCTTATCGATAGTTGTTTCTTTTATTTTCAGAGACAGATGGTGGTATTATGAAAAACAACAGTAAAAGTACAGATCTCTCCTTGGCAGCCCCACCCATGCCAGGGTCTTTGGACAACTGACCTAATGGCTGGGTCAATGATCACTAAATAAGAAATGTTCTATGAGCTCTACCACCTCCATTCTAACATTTTAGGACTCTCTGGAAGAAATAAAAAATAACAAAAGGATGCTACCTCCTGAACAAAGACAAACTGCAGAAAATACTCTGTTCCTGCCCCTCTCTCTGCTGCAATTTTCCTTGCTGGCTTGTGGCTGAGTGCCTCTGCGTGGTGCTCATGCATGATCTGCTGGGAGCTGGGTGGGCGGAGGGGCCTCCCAAGCTGCATGAACCCATCCTGGCAGCTCCTGCTGCAAGACAGATTTCCAGATTTGGACAGAAACAAACAAGACAAAAAGATCAGAAGAGAGAAGACCCCAAGCAACTAGAGACATCATCAAGACCTGTAGGCAATGAAATTTCCAAAAGAAAAGACTTAGCAGTAAATAATTTTGCCTTTTTGCACATGCATGGATTTCTCTCACTCTGTGATGGTGGGTTGAAGAACAGACCACAGCTGTATCAAGCGGAGGTCCCCAGAAACAAGCTTACACTGCAGTGCCGCTAACAGGACCAAGAGCAGAGAGGGGGAAAAAAGCAGCAACCAGGTTCCCCTCACTCCGTGTGCAGGAGGGGGAAGATGAAAGGGCATGTTTTGCATCCCTCAGAAAGAGGGGTTTCAATGCTCATTATGCTCATGAAGTGAAACTTTATCCAGCCAAATAGCATTAAGCAATTCAAAACCAAGGCACATTGACTCGATCCTGCATTCAGCACGCAGCCTCCATCTCTCTTAGTCATCATGCTTTTAGCCAAAGCTGTCCCTGTTGCACCTCTCAAAACCACAGAGAATTTTTTCAGTTTAGAATAATCGAAGTACGAGAAAGAGGACGTTTGAGGACAAGTCCTTTCTTGTCATCAGGAGAGAGTGGTATTTTCAGAGATGAGAAAAACAATAAATTGTTTTACAGTGATTTTCAGTATCCTTGCTCCTAATTTTCAGGCCTGGAAGGTCTAGAAGCCCTGGAAACAACAGAATTAACACTGGTTTATCCCTCTTGACTTTCTTCAGCACGATGGGCAACCAGAAGAACACAGTTAAGCAACATCATAGTGCTCTGCTCTCTTCCACAAAAACCCTCACCACAGGAAGCCATGAGTACAAGGGCTTGAAATCAAACGGAGGAAAGCATTTTGCAAACAATTTGGATCCAAATGCCCAGATGCTACCGGCAATCCACACTAGTAAAATTAACACGCCCAGGCATATTCACTGGCTCTTGGACAGTCTGTCCTGCAAAAGCATCAGCCCCCCAGAAGACAGCCTCTCGATCCATCTGCAGACCACAGGGACCCCACACCAGCCTCTCCATTTCCTCATTTAAGCATCTCTCTTGTCCCCATGAGCCACGTCGCGGCTCTCGGTCCGGTGCCCAACACGCTGCATGCCTGCAGCTGCTGGAGGACTGCCCCGAGCCCTGGGCTGGTGCACCCATCTGCCCGCTCAGCCCCCGTGGGGCACAGCAGTGGGCTCAGGCACAGCCCCCAGAGTGCTGACTCCTGAGGACCCTGCTGCTACTCCTTTTGTGCTTCTCCTGTGTGCTAGGCAGCCTCTGATGCTTCCTCTGGTCCACGAGAAGACCACATTTCTCCATTCAAGCAGCAAAGGCACTTGCTTGTTCATGCTGCTGCACCCCATGGGGTCAAACATCCAGTTCAGGGACACTGGTAACATCAGAAATGAAACTTGCTGCCAGAGCCTGGTAGAGGTCAATGGCAATGGCAGCTTGGGTCTAAAGCAGCAGCCAGTGAGGGGGTACTCAGGCTGGGGTCAGGCTTGTCCCATCTGCAAGCCTTGGTCTCCCAAAAAGCGAGGCATAAAAAGCAGAGAGCCAAGAACTGCATGCAGAGAGGGCCATCTCTGAGGCTGCAGAAAGCTCCCACAATCCATCTCAGAGGATAAAACTACTGCCATCTGGGGCAGTGCTACCCCTAACTCCTACTGGTTAGGGGGCAACCATTATGGTGCCACCAAATCTGTGGCAGCCAAGGTCACAGAAGACAACAGACATTTCAGACACTGTGAAGTCGACCCTGTAATGTCCAGATCTGTCGACTGTGGCTGTTGTTTCCAAGCTTGCTGCTTTGGGAGAGACACAAATTTCTGCTGAGAGGCAAAGTTTCAAAAGCAGCACCTTCTCCACCTCATGGATGTTCCACCTGGTGGCATGTGCACTAGCAGGCACAAGCAAGTGCCTGCAAGAGCCAGCATTGCTCAGGAGACCCACATATCCAGCGTGCTTGCGACTGTTACACTACATGTTTATGGGAGATAACGTCATGCTCTCTGATGTAGCTTGCTGCTAAACTTACAGTCTGCATATTTGTCTGCTGCAACAGTGTCATAACAGAGAAAACAATCCCCAGGTCAGCAAACAATCTGTACCAAAAGATGCATGACTCTCTCATCATCATCACCCCTTCCAATCCCTCAGTAAGCAAGAAAAAATATTTTCTCTTGACAAAGTTAGCTGGGAATAGCATCCACCACCATGCTGCCTTACAGCTTAACCTGCCCTTGGGTTGTGACTGATGATGAGGACAATCACTCCTTTGGGCCCCCAGCCTCAGCAGGCTGATACAGGGCAAACCACAGCCAGCCAGCGCTCAGTGGGAATCAGAAGCAGCAGCGCAGGTAACAGTAGAGTTGAGGAGGAAAAGACTGTTTTCCTCGTCAGTCTGGGCTGTCTTTTATCTCTTGTCTCTTCCCCTGCCATAAATCCTTTTCAATCGAGCATAGCTATCGACCTGCCTCACACCTTACCACTGGTCCACCCTCCGGTTGGGTACAGCTCTACAGTTCCTGGAGATTCTCCCCATCACCTTTCATAACCTTTATACAAACTCTTCCTGAAGCAAAACAGAACAGAGCCTTCAAGAAGTACAGGGGCTGGCTTCTCCTGCCCTACTGGTAGCTGCCACCAGCCACCTCCTGCTCACTCCATAAACTGTGGTGACAGCTCCAGAGTCACATTAAAGCATTACAAACATTTCTCTCCCATAATCCTCTTCAAGCTACAGAATGTAAACTTAATCCGTTAATATCACACCACTACTTACATTTTATACTGGCATCCAAAACAAAAGATTTTTAAAAATTGTTTTAAAATTGCTACTTTGAAGGAAAATATAACTATACTGAAGTGTGAGAACAAGGAAAAGAGATTCATATAACTATCTCCCAAAATTTTATCTTCTTAACACTTGCTTACAGTACAGCTATCTCATTAACTAAAAGAGCATGAAGAAAGAAATACACTTGTTTTTGTTCTCAGGAAGAAAAACCCCAACAAAAAAACCCCAAACAACCTTCAATTGGGCCACTTACCCTAAATGAAAATTCAAGGTTTTCTCCTCCCCAGACTTCCATTCCTGTGTCATATGAACCAAGATAATCAAAATACTTCTTGCTCACAGAAAACAATCCACCTGCCATGGTTGGAGACCTATAAAAGAGAACAGTAACTGAATTGAATAACAAGAGGAAAATATAAACGAACTAACCACAGATCAAAAATACAATATATTTTTATCTTCCATTTTCTCAGTCTTTTCTGGATACAAAGTAACAGTCAGACATTAATCAATTAATTAAGTAGTATATTGTCAGGCCATTTAAATTTAATTTTATAGTAAAAAAATAGTATGATAAAAGAGGTCCAGAATGTATTAAAATAAAAATAACAATGAAATCAGAGAAGATAAACATTGTATTAATACAACTTTTTGCAATTACAGTGTCTTTGTGAGTGGCCATAAATGACTAGCCTCTTACCTTCACATAGTAGAACATAAACTTTTTTGTGGCAGAATTATACTAGTCAGCTCTGAAACTCTACGTGCAGCATCCTTATACATTTTACTTCAGTAATAAGTATACAAATACTGGTGCTTTATTAATTAATAACAACATTCCTGAGCCCATTAATACCAAGTGGAAAAACTCTCAGACATCAATTGAGTAGAATTAAGTAAATACAGCCCCTAAAGAGATTTTTTTTCTTTCTAAGATCTGCCCATCTGTATTTTTTTTAAATTTTTTTACTATGTTTGGGGGGAAAAAAAAAAATCAGGGGTCAAGATCAGATCCTCATCAAAGACTACAAGGCCCAGAGCAACAGTGCACTTCGGGGATGTACTTTCAGTAGTGTAGTGTGTGCACATATACATAAACTTGTACTTGTTCAACATTGTTCCTAATTGGTTACAGTCTTAGAAAATCATAGAATCATAGAATCATCACCCTCTTTAAGTGCCAAGCATAAAATGCGGGTTGTAACTAAACTCAGCTGGCACTTTACAAATTTTACCAAATTGCTGTTGTAAATATTAACAAATGCCAGGTGCAGTGATCAGTTGCTCTTAATCTGTCAAAACTAGTTTTACCAGCCATCTTTTTGAAGACACACTGTCTTACACTGTCATACGTTGTTTCAAAGAACGGAAAGAGATGAAATGAGACAGAAGGAAAAAAAAAATTCCATAACCAGTCAAGCTCTTCTGTCTCAGCCCAGGTCTCATCTTTCCAAACGCAGCTGTTGGTGACACGGCTCTCAGCATTGCTGCTTTCTCCAGACACCTGCCAAGCTCACAGTCTTTGGGCCACTGTGAAGCTTTATCCCTCATCGTTTTCCCCTTGGCATGACAAAGACAATTCTCTTGTCACGGAGAAGAAAAGCATCATATTTAAAGACTTTAAAAACAGTTACTTGACTTTGAAACTTTTTTCAGAAGGATGTGGACTAATATATGCTGAGTTACAACCTTTCCATGTGCTGATAAGCATCTCTGGGAGTTTGCCTGCAGGATTCCAGAGACTGCTTGTGCAATAAGGATTCCATATGGAAGATTACACAGGCATTTCAGCTCTTAGAGTAGTATGTTTTCAGGACCACGGTGAGCAGGAGCTATTTTGGAAAAAAAAGGAACTAAACAAGATACGTAATTTTTAGTGCTATGTTCATTTCTCCAATGTTTTTCAGCACCTGGCATTTCCAAATGAAGTCAAAAGCACTTGGAACATCACAGTTTCATAAGACGCATAAAAATGAACCTGATCACATCGGTCTTGGATTTCCTCCGTTTTTGTTCTCTTTCAGGGGTAACATGCCAAGTGAAGACCAGTCTCCAGTCAAATCCACCAATCTGTGGCTCACCGGCATTTCCCAAGTACTCAAATGTATTCCAGTCAATAACATCAATAACAGGGCAGACGACAGCTGATTCTTCTTCTGCAATCCTAACATGATTTTAAAAGAAAAGGGTGACTTCCATTAGAAACATCTCTCAAAAACTAGAACTGTCAAGAACAGAAAATGCTTACAAATACCAAATGCAAGTTTTGCTCCTTTTCAATTCATGCTGCAATACAAGGATAACCACCAATTTCTTGCTGAGGATGTATCAGAAGGATGCATCAGGATGGTCTCAGCTGTAAGCACCTGGCAAGCATCTATCTTCCTGGACAGTGGAAGCGAGGTATGCCTGATGGCTTGAGATAACACATTCAACATCTGGCTTGGCTGTCATATCCAGCACTGCACTCTCAACAAAAACATCTGGTTTGTTTTGTACAGGTAACTGCGTTCAAGATATTTAGAAAGCAGCATGACTACCATTCTGCAAGGATAAGTAAGGTAGCCAGGCTCTTGCCTCATGGTTGTTCCTTGTAACTGTGGTCATCTACAAAAAGTTATACTGAGCACTACACCAGTAACTCAAAGAGAAGCCATGGGCTTAAACAAACAAAAAAAAAACAACCCTATGAGACACAGGAATTAGATCTCCAACAGTGAAACACACATGAAGGAGGCCTCCAGCAACCCTGACAACATAGGAGATAAAAAGGAAAAAGAAAGTACTGCAGAATAACACACCTATCAGCAAGGCTGATGTAAAGATAGTTAAGATCTTTATCATACTAAGAATACATCAGAGCTGATGACATTTCTTGAAGGTCTACTTCCTCTCATTTCTCAGTACCATGCAGGGTTTTCTGCATTCCTTTCCAAAAGCATGTGCTCTTACAGAAGACTATGGGATCCTTTGCCTTCACCTCAACTTCTGGAAAGGCCTCTCAGTACCAGGAGAGATCAACTTCAAGCACACAAGCTCAAACTAATGCGTTCCTCCTAAATCACTCTTTAGCAATCTTCTCTACAGTAGTCTTAGACGTGTCCTGTTAGTTTACTGAAAAACTCACTTTTAGCCCTTCTGATTTGGGTATTCCAGAGGAAAAGAAAAACTGAACACATTGTATTGCCAAACAAGGAAGAGACCTGATGTATCTGTCATTCAAGGGGAGCCAGTTCCTCATGGGATTAAGTTTAAAACCCACAGGCTGTCCAAGGGGCTGAGACTCTGTAATTAGAGCAGCTTGTGGGGGTTAAATGGAGCAGAGAACAGCAGCAGTTCCAAAGAAGTATTGTCTGAGCTGAGAAAGACTGCCTTAAATATCAAATGGTCACTTGTTGCCAGAGGGAAGATGTGACACAAATGTTTTCTTCTTTATGATCTCCCATTGAAATCCTGTTTGGTAGAGTGCACAAAAGGACTTACACAAACATTGCTGTCTCCTGTCTCACTTGCATAAAGCTTATGTACAAAGCAATGAGAATGATATGTACACAGAGGTAAAAAATTCCCAATAAAATGTAAAAATGCTTTGTTGCTCCTGTAAAGGAAAAGGAGTAAAAGTTAGGTGTCTGGCACGTTATTTCAGTTATGAAAGGAATCAGGTAAGTGAAAAGCCATCACCTTTTCTGCAAGTTAATTCTTAACTAGATGGTTGAATGTACAGCCAGCTTACAAATACAACTCTGTTTGCACTGCAAAATGCTAACACTCTTGTATTGCTTCGATACATTTGAGTCAAGATATGCCATGCAAACACCACCTTAGAGATGTATGTCTGGATCTGCAGCAAGAAGGGCAAAAATTCCAAGACACATCCAGGGCTTGCTTTTTACAGAAGGTGTTTTATTACACTTAAAATCATCCAAATCCTTCCTCAAGATTGCCATCTAGTGGTTTTCTAAAGAAGTGAAGAAATTACAGCATCTCCACAGTTATGTACTGTTTCTTCAGAGGACAGTTGTTAAAACCATGCTTATTCTTTGATTTTTACCCCTTTTCCTTTCTTCACACTATCTATACTGTTCATATTTAACCCAAAGTTAACTGGAATATGGTATTAAATTTGGAATCAAGTTAAATATGACAATTTTAAGAAAAAAAAAAAATTGAAATATTATTCCAGATAAATTTCAAATGGACATGGGGAGTCTGAGAACACAGATTCCACTAGGAATCAGGAAGACTCACATGCCTCAAGACAGCATGTGCTTTTGGAAATCTCTCTCCAGTTGGAGAGAGATAGATTAGCTCAGGATTGGCAAAATGAAGTTTATTGACTTATCTTCCAATCTGCTTACGTGTACATTACCCTGCAAGAGGGGATGTCTCAGGGCATACATCTGTCCAGACCTTGTCATCCACCATCCAGGCTGACAGAAGCAGTCAACTTTCCCAAGGTAGCTTCAAACCTAGGGCAGGATTCCTCTTCCTGAAAACAAAAAACTTTCCCTTCTCTGAAGAAAAAGACCAGCCTGGTCCTTGGGAGAAAACAAAAATCCACCTACTGATCTTCCACACCTCCATTCGCTACCCCACCACCAGGAAACAAACATTCACAGCGCCTCAAGGACCAGACCTCCGTAACCTTCGGTAAACATCTACCAAGAACCAAGAAACATCTACCATTTTTCCACAGCAGAGGTGTGCCAAACCGCCTCTTCTCCTTCTCTGGCGGGACAGAAAACCAGCCCAGCGCATAACCTCACCTTGCCAGCAGCGGCTCCAGCCAGCCCTCGTGGCATTCGCAGTGGCAGTCCAGGAAGGTCAGGATGTCCCCTTTCGCCACGCTTGCCCCCAGCAGCCGGGCTCGAACCAGTCCCTCTCGCTTATTTGCACGGATAAGACGCACCTTGCGTAAACCAGCCACATAGTTTTCCAAAGCCTCCTTCAGATGTTCTAAAAAAAATAAATAAAAAAAAAGAAAGAAATAATATAGTTCTGGAATGGTTAGTTTATGTGATGCTACAGAAAGCTCTTTTTCAGCAGCATATTACTGACAGCAGTGCCGCAAAGATACTGGCATTTCGAACTCTGATTCTGCCATACCGTCTGTGTCAGGAAAAGATAAGGGAAAAGCACAGAGCTTGGATGGACACAAATCACAGCCATTTTCAAGAAATTGAATGCTTCGTACTTGCCTCTGTAATTAATTTCCAAATTGTTAAGTGCTTCTCAAATGTTACATAAAACTTTTTCCATGTAAACGTTTTATTTTTAGCACAATTCGTGTGTGGTGTGAAAATGCCAGCATTGTCTTTGTGTCCCATAATTCAAACAAAAACAGACAACCAGGTAGCTCCCACTATACCAGACACCTGGGCAACCTTGGAGCAATCGAAACTTGCTCAAATTAGGAAACGTGAAATGCATGTATCAATAATCTACAGTTCAGTCAGAGCAAGCACTCATGTTACAACACAGCAAACACGCTTCCCCATTCTAAACTATATTTGGTCCAGAAGTCAATTTTTTCACTGGCATGCTACAAGAAAAACTGTTTTTCAATTATATACCTATGTTGTACAATTTTATGGTATGTTACCCAGACAGCATATCTTTTTCTCCTGTGGACTGGCTGACCAAAAAAAACCCATCAACAATCAATACTATTTAAATTATTGTTCCCACCTTTGTCACTGTAATCATCTACAAGGATAATTTCTTCCAAAAGTATATCTGGAGATGTCTCAAGAACACTATGAACAGTTCGCAGAAGTGTTGACCAAGCCTCATTATAAAAAGCTATCACAACAGAGGTTTTCGGCAGGCTATAGTAATCATACTTCTTCTCTCTGCATCTGCAAGGGAGTGGATCACATTTAGTGAAGGTGAAAAAACATTTGTTAATTTTCAGAAAACAATTCTCAAATTAAGATTTTTGTATGCTATTTACTAACTGTAAGCAAGAACATATAAAGGATCTTAAAAGAACTGTTTGTACACGGAAAAGTCATGCAAGCACTTTTAGAAAGATGGTCTTCCAGAAATCCCATTTCCGCAGCAGCGTTATGACTAAAATTCTGCAACCCCCCAAAATGTCAACAAAGAAAAATAATAGGAAGTATTCTGGGCTGGTGTACGTGCAGTAGCTGTCTTTGCACAATATTACCAGAAGCAGAAGAATGAGCAATGGCCAAAACATGCCTCAGATTACAGAAAGTGCAGTAAAAACCGTAGCATAAATTACTCATAACTTGTGCTTTGGAAAATAAAACAAGCACTATACAGTAAAAATATAACTGCGAAGGAACAGCAACATATAAAGAGGGAAAAAAAAAAACCAAACCGGCAACAGAACTGATATGTATGTACACTGAAGCAGAATTTGGGAAGACCACAGAACTGCCAAGATATAACAGTGAAAGCCACAAAAAAAAAAGCCAACAGACATAGAAATTAACGGGTTTGGCTCTACGGAGAGCCAAGAAGTTTGCAAAACTTTGGGTTAAGCTCCAGAATATACTTCCCATAAATATATATATGAACTTCCCTAAATGAACATAAGGATGCCAAGAAACTTACAGCTGAGCCAAATGTGTAAATTGTTAAAGACTCCCCGGGTCTGAAAGAATTTTAAAATAATGACAGCATTTATTACCATTTCTCTGCTTTTCTTACAGCATTCTGTATGAGGAATTTTGTTAAAAACCAACAGAAATGGTTTAGAGATGTTTGAATTTCCTTATGCCTCTGGCTTACTGCCTGGAATCACCAGGGCTTATATGGAGCCAAAGGACATGCTTCAGCTTCTGGGGACTACTAGGTCACGATAAGATACTAAAGCAGGTAGGACAGTCCTCCTACCAAAACAGAACAGCAGCGAGTCCTCCAAAACCTATGCTGTTGGGAGCTGAAGAGGGAAATCAGAACTGCTCAACAGCAACATGACAACAAAATCCCTTAGGTCAATTTAGGGGAACTGGTATTCCTCAAAACACCTGGACAATGACATTAGAAGAAAACTGCTTACCTATAGCACATTGAGAATATATTTACTAGTCAATTAATGCAGATGCTAGCAATAAAAAAGAAAGATAACTTCTAGGTTTCTTTAAAGATTAGGCACTAAGATCTGCGGTACGGAGAGAAAAAAAAAAAGTCTGGATCTGAATAACCCTAGAATTAAAATTCTGATGAGGAAAAAAAGTCTGTAGAGTATCTTTGTAACAAATACCTGAAAATGAGGAAGCAATGAGCAGAAATGACTCTTGGGCAGAGGCACACAGAAGGGTGGTTCTCAAACATGAAAGGTATGCTATGCAACCACACTCATTGTATACAATGCATATGCATGCATACACACATAGAGATATACACAGAGAGGTACATACACATACACACACACTTATACAGTGAAGTACATAAATGCCCGTCCCTCCAGGCTGCAGCTTGTCCTGAGGCAAACAGTGGCATTCACAGAGAACTGCCTCACACCATCAGCAGGTGACAGAAGTGATTTATTTTGCCAAATGTTCACACATTAACACATGAAAAAGGAGTGACATTTTAATTAACTTTTTTTTTAAAACATAAAAACCTACTGTATGAATCCAATTTTAGAATACATATTTACTTTAGTCTACTGAAAAACCTTCATTGCCAGGAAAAAAAATCTTCTTATATATCACCGTCATTTGTACCAAGTAATTTCAGTTCATTTCTTGATGGAAATGGGATCTTTACCTACCCATTTTAGAAAACTGAAGGAAAAAAAAATAAATAGAAAACCTCCAGAAAAGCTTTCTCTGTAAAGGAAATCCAATAGGTCTGAAGAAGCTTATAAGCCTAAGTATAGATTAAAGATTTAAATGGATTTGCCTGAAAATGACATGCTGGAGACGGGAAACATAATTTGGCACAGAGCAAAGCAATCCCCAAACTGTTTGTGATTCCCCGTGCCTTGCTGCCTCCTTCAATGAGCACACCCTACGCTGCAGGAAAAGCCTCCTAGGGGACATGCCACAGAACACAGAGGTTTCTGAAGTCAAGAAAGAGGCCAAAACTAAAAAAGATGTTTTACTTCCTATCTCCGTGGTAGTGGTAGGCAGCAGGCAAGTGCTGCAAAGTGACTGGCCAGGGCAGCAGGGAAGGATGCTGGCTGGCATGGCCACACTGACACTGCCTGGCGCGGTGCCCAGTGTCCCCCCACAGACCGGCCGGACAAGGCTGACAACCCACCCAGAAAGAAACCATCTCTCACCTTGCACACTGAAATACACAGAGCATAACTGAAAACTTTACTTTCTAGTACATTAAATTTATTTTGGAGAAAACTAATCACCACATATAGACCAACTACAATTTTGAAATTTTTACTTTTAAAAATCTGAAAAAAAAATTAGTCAAATTCTATGCAGATTTTTACCTCAGAAATTATTTCCAAGATGTATATTCCTTACAAGATTTCTACAAGATCTCAACTACTAGCAGTCTCAAATATTGTTGATAAAATGAAGCATAATCTTCCTTATCTTTCTGTTTTGAAAGAAATTTCAAAGATCTTTGCTCAGTCCTAAAAAATAATCCCACCAGGGAGATTACAAACCTGAAGTGTTTAAATACTGGAAAAATAACAGTGTAAGAAAATAAAATAAAATAAAAAAAACCCAAAACAAAACCAAAAGAATGATTCCCCAAAATGGAAATGCTTAGAAGTGTTGTTGAATAACAAGTAAGCGGCATGCATATGGCCATGGAAGATTACCACTTCACAAGATAAACAAGCTTCAAAACACCCACTCCAAGGATGAAACCTGACTTAAAGCCTAGTGGTCATAACTCAGCTTTTCCGTTTCCCAACTCCTATTTACAAGAGAACCACCTTAGCAGTGCATCTTCTGTATTCACCTTTGCAAGCTTCAGGATATATTTTTATTCTCTGTGTGTCAGCTAAGTATCCAAGCTCCTATTTTCCAAGTGAATCATTTCACTCCTACTTCGGGTTATTCAGAAAAACAAATGTGCAGAAGTTACAATATGTCATTAAAATGACAGGGAGGATGCAAACTGGTGACAGCAGTTCCCAAAATATGCTTTTGCAGATCCTGGGACTGCATGTTTATACCACCTATACTGCAAGCTGCTTTCAGCTTCTAAGTTGCTCTTCAGTGCCGCCCTCAAATGTGTAACCCTGTCCTTTCCCAACAGAGGGGATCACGTTAAGCACGATTAATTGCATCTCATGTTAGCCATCTAAAAGCTGGGTGCTATCTTTGAGCTAATTGTCTGGACTCTGCACGGCCACAAAGACAGATCCAGAAGGCGATTCACCTCACCCTCCTTAAGCCATTTACCTAGCACAGACCCACAGACCTTTGTGGACCTCCACCTTCCCCTTGTATATAGAAGTTTAACTATAGAGCAGATGATTTAACTTTTATACGGCTAAAGTTAAAACAACAGGAAACCACCTATAGTCCCTACTATTGGCTGCCTGATATATCACCTTGAACCTAGTTATACTAAGTACCAAACAGTTCATAAAAACATATAACATAGACAGGAGAAAATGAATTGCCTGTAAATGTGACATTTCCAAGCATGGACAATGAACACAGAAGCACTGTCATTTAAAGTCTGACATATTCTTTCACTACTCTCATTATCTTATTCAACCACAGGAACTTTACTATTTACAGAGATAACAATTATATATATTTAAAAAAAAAAAAAAAACCACACCAAAAACCAAAAGCCAAACACCACCTAATTTAAAAACCTGTGCATGTTCAGTGGATTTATTTTCTTCAGAGAAGTACACATCGGACCTAGTCGAGCTGATTCTGCAAAAAGTTACCAGGTAACCAGGATCAGTCACTGAGGAAAAAACCATCGCCAGCACATGGGAGCAGCTTTTTTAGAGCCAACAAAAGAAAGGCATAAAGTTTTAAATAGGACTCAGATTTCACTGAAAAACACTGATATGTAATGGATAATAATAATTTCAGGTAATGGGATGTAAAGGAGTGACACCTGTTCAGCCTCTGCCCTCCGATGGTTCCTGTTGTCTGCAGCCCCACTAGAAAATGCACAAGCAGAGCCCATGTGCACAGTGGACTTGCACCCAGAGACAACGTGTCCAGGACTGTCCCTAAGCACCTCCCAGGGAGCAGGCTGGGACACAGCCCTGCGACAGCAGCACCTGCTTCTGCATCATCCCTGGTTCCCCTCAGGCACTCTCTGCCACACTGGGTGCATGTTCCAGGAATCCTCCTGCTTGATCACCACGGCTTAAAAGACAGGTATAAAACAAGAAATGACAAAAGACACAGCTTTTGTTTATCAATTTATAATAAAATAAACATCTACATTTAAAAAATTCTAACTGCATTCAGCCACGAATCTTTAAATTCCTAGATGGGAGGAGAGAGAATAATTCCATGCCTGAACACAAACAAGTTCCCTATGTACCATCTTTCCTGGATCTTTCACTACAGCAACTACAGCATCTACTCAAACATCTACCTCCACAAAATGCAAAATGGGGCAAAGCATGTAAAGGTGTATCATCACACATCCACATTCTTCTGGGTTTTTGGTTTACGTTTTTAAAACACATTTGCAAGTCACAATCTAACTGAGACTATATGACTGGCAAGTTTAATAATTTAACCTTGGAATCTACTACATCACAAAATCTTCTGTTAGCAAGTTTTACAACAGTTTATTTATTAAAAACTAAGGAGGCATCAGTCAAGGAATGCCTAAACAAAATTAAATGGGCTATTTTGGAGAACATTTGTATCAATTAATGTAATCACTCAATTTATTTCATTGTAAGGAGCTGTTTCTCTCTTAGAGATGTGTATCTATACACAGGGAGAGAAAGCATAAACCTGTGCACACCGGGCATGCTGCCATGAGTTAATTAGGAATGGTTACTGACATACTTTTATGTAAGACTTTCACCACAACTCCAACAACATTACAGCAAGAGAAAATACATTTTTAATCTCCAGATTTTATGTTCTATATGCCAAGTTACTTGTATTTTAAGAAAATAAATATTAAATGTTCTTTAAGTTTTCAAAGATTTGTTAAGAATTCAATTGGCTCGAATTATTTCATGCTTTCTAAAGGTATACTGCTCTTTTATTAATAATGTACTAGAACATTTTTAATGGAAAAAAGTGTGTGTTGAAAATGAAGATGTTAAAATTATTCTCAGCAATCCACAAAACCAAAATTCTTCTAGACTGCTGAAATTTTTAAGTTTTGCTCCTGAAGTTTCATTATGAATGTCTGAAAATACAGAAAGTTCAAGATTCTTGTAGCTTCTCCCAGAAAGTTCAAAACAGCACGTATCACTGCTATATCTGATTTATGTGACTACAGTACGTGACACTGCTGTTATATGCACCATCACAGCATCATCTAGCAAACATCAGGATCCTGCTTCAGGCGAGGCTGCACGCAGTGGGCTAGGACCCAGGCTTGCTGGGTTTGTTAAGGTGGGTGGTGAACACGCCAACTCACACCACCACCTCCTTTTCTCCTCCTAATTTGAACAGGGTTAGGATATTGAATTAAGCAGCAGATCCCCTTTTAGTAAGAGGTGTGCTCAAGCATGGCATTTTGTAGGCTAAGTAAAAATGGCTAAACTGGATGAACGGGCATCTCAATCCAATTTCACCTTCTCCGCTCCCCACCCCATAAACTGCAGAGGTGGCAGTGTGAATGCAGGGGTCTGCCAGGCATCTTCACCCAGGAGAACGCACCTCTTCCTCCTCTCACCCTCCCAAAGCCACGGCAGAGGACACAGCTATGCTGGGGTCCTCTTCTCCCCTCTTTTCTACTGCTCCCTTTCCCCCGGCTCCCAGCAGCAGCTTAGGGGTCAGCAGGTCCATCCACGAGCATCCCAAGTTCAGCAGCATGTAGTGGATTACAGCACTGGTTTCTGAGCCACCCTGCACAGTTACTGAGGCCGTGTTACCATCTCCATGCTGAAGGTGCATTTGAACAGCCACTCCCCAGCCCTCCTTGGGGGAGAGCAACCCATGGAGAAAATCCAGCATGTGAGCCAATAGTGACACAGCCCTATTACATCAAAACCTGGGATACAGAAGTGCAACATTTCCAGGAGAATTAAAGGATACCATAAACAAACACTACCCAACCTTTCATGCTAATTTATTTTCTCACATAAAACTACTTTGAACCATCAGTTCTGGTTTTCTTTTTTTTCTTTAAAGTCTTATCTGAGCATAAAAAGGCTGAACCTGGCTTTGCACATTTACATACCCCCTGTGTGTTTGGATATTACAGAAAAAGGCACCGACATTTATGGAAGGTGTGTCTTGGTCTGGTGAGCAAAGCAGATAGCAGCAAGGTGCTGATAACCACCAGAATGGCAGAATTATTCAGGGTAAGGCCGGAACACGTAAGCAGCACAAGTTAAAGCAATGCTGGCTCATGCTTCCCCACCACCCACTCCCAGCCCAGCAGCCAGGGTAAACACTCCCTAAACTGTATCTGCTGAAACAAGCCTTTTTAGGAAAGAGTCCCCCAGAATACAGTTCAGTCTACAACACCATGATATGATCAAGTCTTTGAAAACAGAGTCTAGCTAGATGGTTTTCCAGATTATTTGACATTTCAAAGAATGATTCTCCCAGTGACAATAAGGTCTCCACAAGACAGACTGTCAAACACTCTTTAAGATTTCAGATAATAAAGGGCTGCATCAGCTAGTATAAAAACACTGCAAGAAGCAATTTCCTACACCTACATTCAGAAACTTACTTTGATATGAATACTTTGATTCAGGAAAAGAAAAATATTTTGCAAAGTAATACAATAACTGAAATAAGTTATTGTAACTATCATTAATAGCAGGATGTGGATGCACCTGGTCCTTACAATTGTGTATACTAAAAGTACTGCTGGAAAAAAGAAAACAAAAAAACCCCATAATTCGTGGTTACTATCACTGGTTAGGGAACTTTTGTCAGGTTAATAATGAAACCAACTGAAACAAAGCACTCATGTAGACGTCAGAGGAAGCTGAGGATCTCTACCAGACGCTGTAAAGAAAAATGGTCAAAAAATCATCATGCGAGCTCTTATGGAAAATGTTTGCAGGTGACTATAAAACGAAAGCATAATGACAAAGAAAACTGACACATTTTTACAGAAGATAGGAAAGAAAAGTAGTAAAACATCAAAGTGCTTGTGGAAGTGCAACGTGCTTGTGGAAGCATTACTGCTATAAAGTGCAAGCCTGATTATTGAAAACAAAACAAAAAAAAAAAATGCTGCAGACTTATTACTCCCTCACTTAACTGTATGAGAGAAGAATGAGAGGTCCCAGAGACACATTGCTTTGCAGGTCTAAAGCCTGTCTATAAATGCAAGGAACACTGCCAACTAACAGTAAAGAAGCAACTAAAAGGTATCATGTTTAATGTAGTTACCAGTAACCAATTATCCATTCCAGAAAAGCTCAGAAAACAGTAAAAGAAAAACCCAACCCCAAACCAGTGACCACAGTGTCATGAAACTACTAAAACAAACCCACCTATAAGTGCTTTCTGCAAAACATTTCCTCCCAAGCAGAAGCCCTGGGCGTAGCTTTGAAAGTCAGAAAAATCTTAGCACAAGATTGTTACTCTAAACTCAAAGACAACATCCCAAAAAACAAATAGCATAAATAGAATCATAGAATCATAGAATGGTTTGGGTTGGAAAGGACCTTAAAGATCATTGAGTTCCAACCCC